CCAAAATGGTCAGAAAAGTCAAGAAATTATTAATAATTTATTTTAAATATGTGACATATTCAGTCGCAAAAGTCAAATTTTGCCGATCTCCCAGTTTTTTCCTCTTTGTGACTGTTTTGGTCGTAAATTTTCGACCATTTCGGTCAAAAAAAATTTGTGACAATTTATATTATCACCACTTCATTTTCGTAGGAAATAAGTGATTTTTGACGAAAATGGTGGTCGGAAAATTGACATTTTCTAGTGGCGAATACTATTGTTATTGAAAAAATAACATTTGAGCATAAATAGAAAAAATAAGGATTAAATTATGATTGGAGTGCTCATTCAATATACTTTTATTGGTAGATATTTAGTTTATTAGACTAATATATATATATANCTTTAGTTTTCTAAAGGCCTTGAGAGTAGATTTTTATAGACGACATCATTTTGCTATTTATCCAAAAATTATTATACAATATTGATGAGGGCGACATAAAATTAATACTACAATTATAATATAAATGATCCCAAGATTTGTTATACTGAATTAAAATTCAATCAAATGCGCAATAAAATAATTTTATATTTTATTCCAAAATTGTCGTCCCTTATCCTCTTAAACCAATGATGTGTGGCTATAATTCATGATTTTTGCACATTATATGCTTTGCGTTTTACATGCTTTAATGTTAAAATACACTTTGTTTGAGCGTAATGGAGGCTATTTTATGTGTAGGTGCATCGAAAATAAAAGTAGAGTTAAAGGGATGCATAAACGTCGAAAGTGCGCTCGATAAGGGTGAAAAGGAGAAGCCGGGCAAAAGCTAGCTCGACCAGGCTTTATCCAGGTGAGGCCAGCTTAAAGCCAGGCCTAAACAGGCTTTATCCAGGTGAGGCCATCTTAAAGCCAGGCCTAGGTTGGCGTTATCCAGGTGAGGCCAGCTTAAGCTAGGCCTAGGCTGGCGTTATCTAAGCGACGCCAGGCCTAAGGCCATGCCAAGTCCGAGTTTTGAATGTTTTAAGTGTTTCCCGGTTTGACTAGAAGTTAACCTACATGTTTAGGGCTTGTCCCAAACATATAAATAGACCAAAAAATGCCATTTTGAATGATTTTTGCAACCGGAGGCAAGAATAGCTCGTGGAACACAATTGGGAGTTGAAGACATTGATTTCTACATCTCTTAATCCTTACTCTTAATTATGAAAATCACTTTGGATATTTGTACTCTGAGTATGAGTAGCTAAACTCATAATTTAGGGTTTTGATGGAACCTATTGAAGGGTGATTTTCTCGTTATGTTAATATAGATTTGCCATAGTATTTTCTCTATTTGTTCTACTACATGCTTATTGTTGATGATTGAAGGGCCCTCAATTAGTTGTTCCTATTTAGTGTGCATTACTCAGGAGAGAGTGCATATTTAGGTAGTTGTTGAACATCATCACTCCTAACGTATATGATGGATCAATATGAAGGGTTTAAAGGTGGGATTAGGGATAACGAAACCTTGGGTGCGATCTAAGTAAGCTGTACTTAAAGCTAGCTAGCATAATTCGGGATAATATATCTAGTATATTGTTGTAATTACTCCGGAGAGAGTTACGACAGTTAGAGTTCTCATGATCGATAGAGAAGACTTAGGCAAATTTACAGCAAACATAGTGAAAAGGATTCCGACAACAAGCGAAATCCGAACCTTAGATCATCCCATTCTTGCTTACAAACTGTTCATAGTTAGTGCTTAATTACAGCATTTTTATTACGTAATATTTAGTTAATGTATCCTATTTATTATATTTGAAGATTGAATACATGAATTTCTATGAGTCCAATAGCTGTGGTTGATAGGTTAATTCCCTGTGAGATTCGACTCCGGACTTGTTAACCAGAATATATTTGCAGCGATCACTTTGTCCTTTTTATAAGGCATAGTTGGGTGTGATCAACCAACTACATTTGTTGCAGAACAAGGGACTATTCTCCGGGTCATACGTTGAAGATCCTCAGTAGTATCTGAAGAATTTCCTATTAATCTGTGCCACGCAGAGGCAACATAACGTGACACCGGAAGTAATACAGCTGTTGTTGTTTCCATTCTCTATGACAAGAGAAGCTTAGACTTGGATTAATTCACTCCCCATAAACTCCATCACTACTTGGGAGGAATTAGTCAAGCAATTTGTGAACAAATTTCACCCACCCAACAAGACTGCTCAGCAAATTGATGAGATATTGAGCTTCAAACAGAAACCAACAGAGACGTTACAAGAAATGTGGAAGAGATTCAAGGGTCTGTTGGTTACGTGTCCACATCATGGTATTCCGGAGCAGAAGTTGGGGTAGAGATTTTACATGGGTTTGGCAGATAGCTTGAAGGCAAATGTTGATGCTTCAGCAGGTGGAGCATTTTTGAGCAAAACTTTTAGAGAAAGCAAGATCCTACTTGACAAGATGGCACAAAACTCTGGATGGACAACAAGAAATGCTCCAATCACTCCTGTAGTTCACTCAGTGGCATTAGACCCAACTAACTCCATAGCTGAAAATATGGCCACTCTACTGACACAAATGAGTATCCTCACCAAAAAGGTTGATGAATCAGGCCAGAAGTAGCAGGTACACATAGTTGATACAACTAATGGGGGTTTATTTACATCATGCATTAATCAACCATATGTCTACTCGTGGAGTGCTGAAGGTGATAACCAATAATATCAGGAGAACATGAATTATGTGGCCAACTATGGGGGACCGAGACCAGGTGGTCAGAATTGGAGTCAGCAGAATCAACAATATAGGCTGGCTCAGCAGCAGTACAACAACAACAATAACCTTGGGGCTATGCGACCACAGGGTCAAATGGTGCCTTACCAAAGGCAACAAGGTTACAACTAGCAAAATCAGTAGCAGGCTTATCAACAACCTCAACATCAACATCAACAGACTGTGAGACACAAAGATGGGTTTGCTAAACTCAAGGGAATGATACAACAAGTGATTGGGTCTACTAGAAAACTAACTGACAGAGTAGACTCACATGAATCAACGATAAAGAATATTGATATCCAATTAGGACAGATTTCTATGGCCCTAAATAATCGTCCCCACGGGATATTACTTGTAGATACCCAAATCAATCCAAATGAGCGGGGTCCGAAGCAGTTGATGGCAGTGATTCTCTGAAATGGTAGAGACCTAAATCTGGAGCAAGAAATTGCTCGCAAAAGCAGATCGACTGAGATACTGGTTCCAGTACCCAATGAGATAGATGATTCAGCAGGGTTAACTGAGGTGACAGTACATCATGTGCAAGAGAACACCAACAAAGAAGAAGAGGTTGTGAAAGAGACTGAGGTTGCACTGGAATCGACAGTAGAAGCAATGCCTAAACAAGAGAAAAATCAAATCACAAGGAAGAAGTGACCTCCATCACCATTCCCACAGAGATTGGCCAATTATCAGAAAGATGAGCAGTACAAGAATTTCTTGGAGATGTTGAAGCAAATTCAGGTAAACATTCCATTCATTGATGCTTTAAAGGAGATGCCTTGTTATGCGAAGATTATGAAGGACTTGATGTCCCCCAAGTTCGACTTTCAAGATTTGGCTACGGTTACACTAACTCAGACCTGTAGTGCTGTTGTGACGAGGCCCATAGCTGAGAAGCTATTTGAGAGGGAGTTTCATAATCCCTTGCACAATAGGTAACTTTGCATTTGCTAAGGCACTATATGATCTGGGAGCAAGCATAAACCTTATGCCCCTAGCTATCTACAAAAGGCTAGGCATTGGAAGAGCTAGACCCACATCTATGTTACTACAGCTGGTTGACCGAACAGTGAAAAAGTCATCTGGGATTCTAGATGATGTATTGGTTCAGGTTGGGAAGTTTGTGTTTCTAGCAGATTTTGTCATCCTTGATTGTCGGGTTGACGAAGAAATTCCCATAATTTTGGGAAGACCATTCTTGTCCACTGGGAGAGCTTTAATTGATTGTGAAACTGGAGAGCTCAAGATGAGATTAAACTATGTAGAAATAACATTCAACGTGCAAGAATCTATATGGAGGCCAAGTGAATTTGCTACTTGCTCACTAATAGATGCGGTGGCTGTAGTTTTGGAGGAGGAAGATGAGGCATTGAACATTAAAGACCCTCTAGCAACCTTTCTCATGAACTTAGATGAAGCTAATGGTGAAGACTTAGCAGAGTGGGTATTTGCTCTTGAAGGGCAAGGTTTTTGGAGAAGGGAGCTCGAATTTGAGCCCTTTCACTTAGAGAAAAGAAAAACTCCTCCAGCTAAGCCATCAATAGAATAGCCACCAAAGTTGAAACTAAAACCACTGCCATCTCATCTCAGGTATGCATTCTTATGACTTAACTTAACTCTACCTGTTATTATCTCATCCAGTTTGTTAGATGCGCAGGCAGAACAGCTTTTGCAGGTACTGACTGAGTGTAAGACTGCAATTGGGTGGACCATTCTAGACATAAAGGGGATCATCCTGGCCTTCTGTATGCATAAGATTTTATTGGAAGATGGGCACAAACCTTCCAGAGAACATCAAAGAAGGCTGAACCCCAACATGAAAAAAGTGGTGAAGAAAGAAGTGATCAAATAATTAGATGCGGGAATCATATTCCCCATCTCTGACAACAACTAGGTTAGCCAGTTCAGTGTGTACCAAAAAAGGAGGCTGATGGTAGTGAAAAATGAGAAGAACGAATTGATCTTTACACGAACAGTCACATTGGTGAATCTGTATGGATTATAGGAAGTTGAACTTGGCTACCAGAAGGACCATTTCCCACTGCCATTCATTGATCAAATGCTAGATAGATTGGTAGGTAGGTCTCACTTTTGCTTCCTCGATGGGTACTCGAGGTATAATTAGATTTCCATTGCCCTAGAGGATAGATAGAAAACGTTGTTTACCTACCCTTATGGTATCTATGCCTTTCGGAGAATGCCGTTTGGCCTATGCAACGCACCCGCCACATTTCAAAGGTGCATGATGGCCATCTTCACAGATCTGATAGAGGAGATAATAGAGGTTTTCATGGATGATTTCTCAGTGGTGGAGAATTCATTCGATGATTGCCTTGTGAACTTCAGAAGAGTTTTGCAAAGGTGTATCGAGACTAATCTGGTGCTCAACTGGGAAAAGTGCCAGCTCATGGTATATGAAGGTATAGTCTTGGGGCACCTGGTGTCAAGTAACGGTATTGCAATGGTTGATGTGATATAAAAGCTTCCACCACCCACCTCCATCAAAGCAATTAAAAATTTTCTTGGCCATGCCGGTTTCTATAGGAGATTTATAAAAGATTTTTCCAAAATTGCTACCCTTGTGGAAATTGCTTGAAAAAGATCACCCTTTTGTGTTTTCTAATGATTGCAGGGTAGCTTTTGAGGAATTAAAGAAGAGGCTGGTAACAACACCTATTATAGTTGCCCTTGACTGGGAGCAATCGTTTGAGCTGATGTGTGATGCGAGTGACTATGCTGTGGGAGCAGTTCTTAGGCAGTAAAAAGCTAAAAGCATGCATCCAATATACTAGGCAAGCAGAATGTTGAGTGGAGCCCATCTAAATTACACTGTGACCGAGAAGGAGATGCTAGCAGTGGTGTTCGCATTTGACAAGTTTAGGTCATACCTGATAGGCTCGAAGGTAATTGTTTATACTAACCATGCTGCTCTCAGGTACTTGATTGAGAAGAAGGAGTCAAAACCACGCCTGATTCGATGGGTGCTACTGCTGCAAGAATTTGATTTGGAGATCCGTGACCGAAAGGGAATAGAAGTGGCTGATCATTTGTCTCGGCTGGTAGGAGCTGAAAAGAAGGTTGAGGAGGAAGAGATTCTGGAAACTTTTCCAAATGAACAATTACTAGCCATGAATCTCGAGGCAACGCCATGGTATGCAGACATTGAAAACTACCTGGCGAGTGGTATTTTTCCTTGTGACCTTTCATCTGTTCAAAAGAAAAAGTTCTTTCGTGATTGTCGCATGTATTATTGGGATGAGCCTTATCTGTTCAGGATTTGTGTTGATAACATGATTCGGAGATGTATCCCCGAGATAGACCAGTCTTCTATTCTGTAGGCATGTCATGCGTCACCATATGGTAGGCACTATGGGGGAGTAAGGACAACTGTGAAAGTCTTGGAGTCGGGCTTTTACTGGCCAACATTGTTCAAAGATGCACATCTATGGATAAAGGAGTGTGATGAATGCCAACGAACCGGGAATATTTCCCGCCGACATGAGATGCCTATGAACACAATTCAGGAGGTTAAAGTGTTTGATGTATGGGGGATTGATTTCATGGGGCCATTCGTTAGCTCATATGGAAACAAGTACATACTCGTTGCTGTGGACTACATGTCCAAATGGGTGGAAGCTGCAGCACTCCGTACAAATGATGCAAAGGGAGTAATTGGTTTTTTGAGAAAGAACATATTCACCCGATTTGGCACCCCAAGGGCAATAATTAGTGTTGGAGGCACTCACTTTTGTAATCGAGCCTTCGCGAAGTTGTTGGAGAAGTATGATGTACGACACAAGGTGGCCACCCCATATCATCCACAAACAAGCGGGCAAATGGAAGTCTCGAACAGAGAAATAAAGAGTGTGTTGACTAAGAATGTGAATGCTACTAGAACTGATTGGGTGAGGAAGTTAGATGATGCACTTTGGGCTTATCGAACCACTTTCAAAACTCCGATCGGCATGTCGCCATATAAGTTGGTGTTTGGGATTGCATGTCATTTACCGGTAGAGTTGGAGCATAGAGCCTGGTGGGCGTTGCGACAGTTGAATCTTGATATTGAAGCTGCGGGAACAAGTAGAGTAATGGAGCTGCACGAGCTTGATGAGTTCAGATATCACGCTTTTGAGAGCACGAGATTATACAAGGAGAGAATGAAGATGATGCATGATAGAAATATTATATAGCGGAATTTTAAACCCGTAGATACGGTATTGCTTTACAACTCAAGACTAAGGTTATTTCTGGGGAAATTGAAATCACGATGGTCAAGGCCTTTTCGTGTGGTTGAAATTCACCCCACGGGTGTCGTAGAGATTGATTAGATCCAACCCTGCACCACTACAAAGTAGCGAGAGTGGTCGAAGTAGCTTTTACCCGAGATGGTCGGGATCGAATTCCACAGGGAGCTAGAAATGGGAATCGGGTTCCTATCTAAATTAGAGATGCGTAATTGCTCTTAATTGAACTTCTAATCATAGTTGGTATTTTGATTACTTCTAATATTATGCTAATAAGATGCTAAAGTAAGCTCAGAGTAATCTACTTGAATGGTTGTCTAAATAGTTAAGGAGGCACTAGGAAAATGACTTTCTCCTAGGTGGATACTTGACGGGTTCTCGAGTCTAAGGCTAGGTTGTCATGTACGGGATTATGATATAACCAATGCCCGAAACTTCTCACTCTATACCTCTCGGTAGTTTGAGTGATTTTGCCCTAATTGACTTTCTCAAGACCAATTGGGTATGATAATTTATGCAAGCAATTGAGGTTCAAGTCCGGTATTACTATCTCTAGGTTTAACCCTTTAATTGGGGCTATCAATCTCTTGAATACGCCCCAATTACTATCTCTGGAACCCAAACTCATACTTCTCAACGCTCCCTAAGCAAACCTCACTTTTAGATTGTAGTCCGGCTCTAAGTAGCATAAGCTTGCCCCTTATGTGAGTCACCACTAATGTAAGCTTCATTCAACTCAAGATCATATAGGGCTTTTGTGGAGATATAATGAAGGCTTTTGGTTCAGGGTGGGAAATGTTTGGTCTAAGTAGGTTCCATCTTCCCTTTAGCACTTCATTTGCTTTATTTTGGCACCTATTCTCTTGACTTTTTAAGTCATTTAACTTCTTTCTAAGGGGTTAGAGAGATACACTGTCACTCTTTCTTGTTCATTTCAAACCTTTTTCTCCTTTCTCAACTTTCCACACCTTTCATCTCTTTACTTTTATTGAATCCCTTCATTTTTTTCTACATTGATCATTCTCTTTGTCTTTTTGATTTTCTTTCTTTTTCATTGCCTTTCCTTTTCTTTATTTTGTACCTTTTACCACTTTGTTGCATTCCTCGTCTCTCCCTCCAAACTTATGGTTTTGCTTTATGCTAAGGAAAGATCGGGTGCCAAGAGAGGGTATTTTTAGAACAGATAAAGGCTTGTATCGTGGTTTTTGAAAGAAAAAAGGTCTATGGCTCTAAAGGGTTGACTAGGGATATTATCATTGGTAGGCTATGGAAGTGTTCAAGATATCATTCGGATCAAGGAGAGCCTATAATCACATCTCAAGTCAAATTACACTAAAAATTTTGCCTAGACAAACATTTAGGGTAAGTTCTAGACTAATGGCTCGGTGCTTGGACTTGCAATTCAACTTCTCACCACACAAGCTATGAGATTGCTAAAGAGATAGAGTTGGGGGCCTACAACAACCTTAGCTAAGATTTGAGCAACACAATGGTCTCGAAAAACCACTTTATGATTATCGGCCAACACAAGAGTCTCAAGGTCACAACTTTCACCATCCCATACACAACAATTTGTTTTTGACCATAGACTCAAAGGCAATTTGTGTTAGGCCCAAGCGAAGCTTTGACTGAGGCTCCATTACTCACTAGCTACTATGTACATAAAAAGCAAAAAGAAAACAGACTCAAACCCTTAAGAAGGTTGTCATGCCATCCATCATCGGGAAGAGCCACCCGGTTCACACAAATTTCACCTGTGGAAAGAACCGTCGCATTAAGAAAACCAAAGGCTTATTGCACGGAAAAACTCAAACAAGAAGCTACGAAAATAAAATAAGAAGTTATGAAAGGAAAAATGCGGAAAGTAAAATGAATATATACAAGAGGGGATTAAGTCAAATACACATAAGGGAGAATGAATATATACATTAGAACGTAACTTTATATACAGACCAAAAGTAAAAAGTACGAAAAGTGCAATAAAATGATAAAATTATGTACTTACCAAAGGTAAAAAGAAAGCATAAAGAAAAAGGTAATGTCATATATACAGTCATCCAAATAGGGCTACCCCCTCAAATGAAAACTAGCATTGTCCTCAATGCTAACCAACCAAAATAAGCACAAAACAAGATAGAGAGGAAAAAGAAACTCCCTATTGGCCCTCCATCTGCATAGGATCCTAAGTCTGGGTCCCTAGGTCCTCAGTCTGCTCGGGAACCTGTGACCGGCTCCCTATAATCTGTGTCTCCACTGGGGCCTGGGCCTGTACTGAGTCTTGGGCTTGTACTGGAATCTGGGGTTGGCTAGAGGAACCTCCCTGTGAGTCCTCCAACTCTATAATAGCATCATCAGTACGGGGAAGCACGCTCTTCCTCTTGGGTGGCCTCTCTGTCTCCTGCTCTGGTTGGGGCTGGGCTGCTGGAGCCGGGTCATGCAATAAAAGATCCAGAAGCAAGTGATCAGCCTTCAACCTCTCTACCTCCACCCTTAACTCTTTCACTGACTCCTTTGAAGCACGAGTCTTTCTCATTTTCTTTGCCTCCTTAGCAAGCTCCTTCAATGCCTTTCCACGAGAATCAACAGCATCCATGATCAATTTCTGGTTCTCTAGGAGCTTCTTCTGGTTGTCCAAAATCTCCTTGAGAGTGTCCTCCACGGACTGTGGGAACTGTAGCTGAGGAGGTGCAGAATGGGCTGCCACCAAAGTAGAAAGTACAGACAGCTTGGAAGTGGCTGTCTGCATCCAGTTGTTAATACTAGCAAGGGTATGGCTCAGGCGGTGGGCAGTTAAAGGATATGCTGTGGATGATGGAATATCTGGAGCTGTAGAAGTGGAGGATCCTGGGGCCATGTCTGGTGTGGCTGAAGGAGGCTGAATAGGAGCCACTACTACTATTGGCTCTTCAGACTGGCCAGTTGAAGTAGTGGCTTTGCCCTTAGGGTCCTTGGGGTTGTCAGGACCCTTGGTGTTGTACAAGGAGAACGGGGCCTTTGCTTTCACTTTCACATCAAATCTCCTCTTCTCCACATGTAGATCCTCAAAGTACATGGTCAGGAAATTGGGGAAGGGGTAGGATCTATCACCTTCGTTCACCACCCGTGTAATTACCTTGTACATCACATTCCCGATGTTGATCGGGTACCCCGCCATGATCAATGCCACCAATATAGCCCGGGAGATAGGAAGTGAGTTGTCGTGAGTGGTGGGGTCTAGCCTGCTACAAACAAATATTTCCTACCCCTTTGCTTCAAAGTTAAGAGTTCACCTCAGAATTTTTACCCCCGTTGTCAACCATGTTGGGGTGGTACCTGGGATTGCCAAGTACTCAGCTAGCCATGGACGGGCATCCTCCCCCAAAGCTACCTTGTCTAAGTACAGGGTCTCATCCTCCTCCGGGAAGCCTAGGTAGTCATTTATCATCTTGCCATCAAATTTCACTTTCAGATTTCTCACCTTAGTCACTTTAGTGCCCTTTTTGATGTGGGCAACATTGGTGTAGAACTCCTTGACTAAGTTTTCATTGGCATCATCTACATGGCCTATGAAGTAGTCCCAGCCTGCTCTCTCTTTGAACTGCCTCAACACATTGGGGTTGTGAGGTAAAAGATCCTGTGTGATGAATTTCTGCTCCGATATTAACTTCCTCTCGGGCCACCATTCTATGAACTTGTGGTAGGCCACTTCACTCGCAAATTTGTCTTGCCATGCCTACAGGTTCCTGGTTCTCTCTACTCCTCCTGCTTGGGGCTCACCTCCTCCTACTTCTTCTCCTTCTTCTTCTACGAGATCCTCCCCGGATAGTGATTTTGTAGGTGAGGTGGAATATTCATTGTCACTGCCTGCAGCTGAGCCCTCAGATGACTCAGTAGATATGTGCACTGATGCTTGGGCAGTAGGAGAGCCCGAAGGTGTATCCCTAAATCTATTCCTCTCCGGCCAGTCAGGAACATATTATGGCACGGAGTCTGAGTCCTCCCCGGAAGGCACATACTCACTCCCCAATTGGTCAATAGCTCTATCAGTAGCCCTTATGATCTTTCTGGTATTTTGATAGCTTGCGGGGTCAATCTAATAATGCCTTTTCCTCTACCCCTGGAGGACTCTCCTTTTCCCTATTGTTTATCGCCTCTGCCTCGTGATTTCACCATTATTTGCAAAGAGAACACATTTAGTTGACCTTTGTTAGTATCAGCAGAATCAGTGAAGCATTGCAGGATAATATTGTAGACAGTCAGAATTGCAGACTGCGGATCGCACAAAATGAAGTGCAGCAGCAAAGAAGCTACCGTGGACCGCACAAAATGCACACAGTCCGCACTGAGGTGAGGATCAGACTACCCACTCTCTGATTCTAGGCACCGCAGACCGCACAAAATGCGCATTGAGGCACCGGGGACCACACAAAATCCATCGCAGCCGCGGTCCTCAATTATCATCTTTCAGAAGTTTCACCACCGCGGTTCGCACAAAATAGCATTGCGGACCGCACAGAAGCACCGCGGACCACACAAAATCCACCGTGGTCTGCGGTAAGTGGTGCCCAGTAACACCAACCTAGGATTTCAATTTTTCACATTTTTAGTCCAATTTTTCACCTATTATTGATCCCCTAGGTGTTGAATCAGTGTTTTTAACTACTTAGTCCTAATTTAAACATGATTAAATCAACCTACGATACATAATTGAAAGAAAACGAGAAGAAAAAGAAGAAAAACTAAGAAAAATAAAAGTTAAAAGAAAATAACAAAGTTAAATAACTAAGACAAAATTAAAATTACCAGAAGTGAGATGCACTGTAGATTAACGAGATTTAGCAGCTGAATTCAAGCAAGTATGAGGGATGAACAGTGATTTTTTAAGCTTTTGAGTGCAAAGGATCGAAAAGTTTGAAATGAGGGCCTCATGTCCTATTTATAGAAAAAGGAGCCGGGGCCCATCTCAC